GGGACTCTAGGATCTAAGATCTGGAAGGGGAACTAAAATTCCCTCACGGTATTGATAAAGAAGGATGGGGGTCTGAAAGGTTGTGTAACAGCTACTTTTACGTCTACTGAGTTAGCATCTATCGGCCACCAGAAAGAGACTGACCTTTGGAGCGTTTGCCCTTCACCATTAGAGAATCAGAGCCAAGAGCCAAAGCTCAGAACCTCAGCTTTGAAAAGTCTTTACGGAAGCTGATGTACATGGGCAACTCACTTGGTAATTATAAATTATCAACCGAAGTAGGGGTGGGTACCAGTGGATATATACTAAGCTGCAAATGTTTAGGCATAAATTAAAACAGTAAGATAATACAACACTTAAAGATGATTTTAACTCACTCATCCACGCAACGAATGCAACATTTTCGGGCGCATATCCTGGGTGAGTTGCTCGAAGATAAATGGCAAAGGATATTCAAAGTTTGAGTAGCCAGTCAGGGTGCATCTTCGACGCTATGCACCGTTTCAGTACATGCCAAAACCAACCTCCCCCAACCCCCTCGACACAGTACCACACGTTTGTAGTTGAAACCATATAAACGTTTAAATCTCTGCAGGATGATACATTTGAAACTATTGACACAGATGGAAATGGTGGTATTTCTCCAGATGAGTTGGCGGAAGGACTTGATATCTCTCTGCTAATTGCTAACCGATATGTGGTAGCTTTTGATGCGAATCGAGACGGAGAGCTCGATTCTGAGGGTAAGACAGAAACTAAAATTTATAGACGCTAATAGCAATCCCTTTGCTCAGAGCGAATCCTTAATTACGCACTGCAAGTCGGTAAATGTCAAAGAAAGTGATGTCTCTGTATTCTCGTTCTCAGAGCCACTCGGTTGCTCTGGTTACGTGACCAAAAGGAAAAAGGACTCTGGAAAGGAGAATTGACTCCTAGGTCTGCAATGAATAAAATTTAAATTTATTTCCAAGCACTTTATGTCCTTGCGCCCACAACACCGTTTGTATTTTTTCTTAAATTGTTACGATGCCAATCTCTAATGACTCACGCAACAGAATGCGCCGGTTTAAATTGTCTCATGGCCTAAAATTCTCCACAAATTGAGATTTGGCCTATAAAATTTCACAGCTAATCAGACCATGGAACTTATTTTGCAGAGTTTTCAAACCTACCACTACATGAACAGTAATGCCATAATAAAATCTCAGTAAATGGGTGTATTTTACTAGAAAGTGCCAGGAATTGCCCACAAAAGGATTTACATATCTTTGCATGGTGTAAAACTTCAAACTACATTTGGTTGTAATAAATGCAGCTATTTGGGAGATGTTGTTTGAGCTTTGGTTTTAATGTTTCTTGTCCACAAACGTCAATTAAAACACAGCGCGAGCGTGCTTCCTAGTAAGGCTGCGTTCACACTTTGTGCCACTGCTCTGGCACTAATGCTCGGACACCAAGTGGTGCTGTGTTGAGACGCTGGGTACCTGATATATTAGTGCCTGGTTCAACGCCCGAGTACAAGGTTAAGTCCATGTACTCGGGAATGGATGTGGTGCCCGAATACTGGGTTGGGTACTTGAATAAAAGGTGTGTTCACATTAGCGTCCATCAAGAATCGTACTCGGGCACCGTTGCTAGAGCACCAAGCTTAAGTGTGAACACAGCCTAAGGAAATCCATGCCAATCCAGCATGCCAATGACGTCAGCAAACAACGCCTCAAGACTGAAAATTTCCCTCCACGATTGATCAGTAATGATAGCGAACCTCCCGACCAGTTTAACTGGTCGCGAGTTTTGAGATTTTCAAGGGGTTTAGTTTTCCGTTCCGTCCCGATTCAGATAGGCTTCTAGGTGCTCTAAATGAAGAGTACATCTACGGAAAGATACTTGATTAGAAAAGCGATGGTCTTTAACGCCTTAAAAGCGACGGAAGGAGCATCGGGTGAACAGTTCGGTGCATAATACTGCAATTTCCCCACGTGATCTGACTTAAGTGGAGCTTTGCCAATTTTGGACCATTCTTTGCCCGGTAAATATTAGGGACTTTAAGCAGTCAGGACGGCAACGCCACGGAAGACGTCGATCAAAAAAATGAGTTTCTACTTTTAGTTAGAATTTCGAAAATGGCTGGATGTGTTTACCGTCTCATAGGGCGCCAGTCCGCCAGACCTCAAACTCAACATAACGCATAAAAGTAGCGTTGAGTTCCAAATGTTAATAATTGAAATAACTTGCCGCTGCGGTTTAGCTTCACAGACGACGCAAATTTTGGTGATTTCACGTTGTTGTTTTGCAAAGGACGGCTAAGAAATGTACAAAGTTTGAAAATGCACGTGCTGGGCTATTGTTCTGCCAATTAGATCTATTGTTTTTCCACGTTCTCGTTGCCGTAGCCGTCGTGGTTTGCTTAAAGTCCCTAATTTTAAGTGGTAACGGGCTAAGTCGCCCGAGAGTCGTCTCGACTGTTTTTTTTTTTTTTTCGGTTAATTTCGGGCGACATGACTCAGGCCCTGAAGAAGCAGCCATTGTTATCATGGCAACAAGAGTGCTGCAACCTTAATAAATAAAGAGCATTTTTGTGCATCCCCCGGGTGCCTAACTGCATGCAAAATTTGAAGGGGTGTTGAAAATTTCCATTTCCCAAGATGTTTGATTCTTGCAGACTTGTTCCTAAATACTGTTATTTATTCATACTTAAGGAGAAGTTATAAAATTAAATACTATACTTCCTCAAAAAAATTAATGTTGGGTAAAAGAGGGTGCATTTATTGGAGAAAGGGTGCCTAAGCCAGGGGGGCACTTGTTATTCTCCTGTAATGACTCTGCTGTAGGTTTAAAATTATCTAATGGGGCAGTAGAAACAGGTTTTTCTTGTATCCCTATGATTTAAGTGAGTTAGGGATGAGGGAGATTGCTTTATGGAGTTTGTGGCTTAAGGAGTGCACGTGGGTGCTTCTTGGAGTGTGGGCACTTATTTGAGGAAATACAGTATAATTTTTATTAATCAATCATTTAATAGTGTGGGTAAGCTTCTATCAGTAGTTCTTGTCACAATGGGTATGATCTTAAAGATCTTCTTTTGTCAGATTTCCCTTCTTTAGAAGACAAGTATTCTGGTCTTTTCCCACTCATGTTGGACTTGATAATGTGATTGACCTGTTCCACTATTTCCCTTAGTAAAACAAACAAACAAATATAAACAACAACAACAAAATTAATATTTAAAAAAAACATTTTTTCATACATCAGGGAAAATTGTTCCCCAATCATTGAACCCTTTGATGCCTTAGGCTGACTAAAATCTAATTTCTCCTTACAATATCAACCCTGAACCAAACATTAAGGTTACCAGAATAAAGGAAATGATCACCAAGAATATCGAGGCTCTTGATAGTTAATAAGGAGAATATGCATACTGATGTCGACAAAAAAAAAAAACTGGTAGGCCAGGGAATATTAATCAACTTACTACCAAAACTAGACTATTTCAAATGCTCTTTGCTGTGATAAATTACTGTATGCAAAGAAGACAGAAAATTTCTCACCTGCATCATCAGCATCAGTTTCTAAGTCGTAGCGTTTAAACTCATGTGCATCTTGACTGAAGTAAACTATTCTGAACACAGATTTTCCATTGTTCTTCGCTTAATTTAGGTCACAAGGAACCACATTTTCCATATCTATTGAAGTGTTAAGAAAAAGTGATTTTACAATTTAGTATTAAAAGGAAGAGGTAACAGGAGAAATCAGATAAAAAAATATAACACTGTGCTGAGGGGGACATTGGGGTTTGCGGTGTTGGGGTGCTGACTCTTTCTTTTAATGCAGTATTGTGGTGTAAAGCAACTTTCATTACGGTGTTGCAGTGATCTCAAACTTTGCGGTATACGATGTTTGTAATTTCAAATCAACAGTTTTTGGTGAAATAAACTATTTCCGGTGTTGCAGTTTAGTCTTTTAAGATTTTGAAAACCCGCAGTTAGTTTTTGAACAAAATATGCCATACATTTGAGTTAATCTTTAATTAACATTAGCCAACTAGCCCCAGACCATGTTTGTTAATATTTTACTTGACTTCTGGATCTCAACAACACGCACTATTTGGCCAGCCAAAGACCGGTGCATGGTAAAGATGAGTGAAACCAGACCAGATAAATCCTGAAGCTTAAACTATATCATGGTGTCGTGTGTTGATAATTTCTTGCAGTGATGTGGTGTTTATTCTAGTTTGTTTTCAATGTTGTGGGTATTCAGAACACCCTATGTCCCCCTCTGTACCTGAGCCAAGAGCTCATGCAGCTAGAGCTTATCTTGGTAGCATGAACTGAGTAAGAGTTTTATTACCCCCACTCCCCCCCCCCC